CAGCTTGGTTTGGTAGTGTCAGGGGAGCAATGTTCTACATTAGAAAGACTCCAGAATCCCCACCATCTCTGTTTGCCAATGGGATAAAAAAACAAAAAAGAAAGGACCTATGTGTACAAAAATATAACTGCTCTTTTAGTGGTGACAAAGAATTGGAAATTGAGGAGATGTCCATCAACTGGGGAATGGCTGAACAAGTTGTTATATGTGATTGTGATGGAAAACTATTGTGCTATAAGAAATGATGAGCAGGATGTTCTTAGAAAAACCTGGAAAGACTTACATGAGGTGTTGTAAAGTGAAATGAGCAGAAGCAGGAGGACAATGTATGCAGTGACAGCAATTGGGAATGACTTAGCTATTCTCAGCAATACAATGATCCAAGACAATTCTGAAGGACATGATGAAAAATGACATCCATCTCCAGAGAAACAACTGATGGATCTGAATGCAGATTGAAACATATTTTTTCTTTGTTTTTCTTGGATTGTTTTTTTCCATCTCTTTTCTTTCACAACCTGACTACATGGAAATATGTTTTGCATGACTGCTGATGTATAACCTATATAAAATTGCTTGCCTTCTCAAGGGGAGGAGGGGAAGGAGGGAGAGAGGATTTGGAACTCAAAAGTTTTAAAATACAATGTTAAAAATTGTTTTGACATGTAATAGTGGAAAAAAATATTTAAAAATTCCCATCATCTTCTAAGAGGGACAGAGAGAATTAAGAAAGAACTTGCAAACACAAAGCCTGTAAACAGGACATCGGATTCTAGAGAAAGGGGAAAGGAATAAGAAAGAGAATGGATTAAATGAACTTTTTATTTTTGAAAGGAGAGCCACAAATTAATGTTATTTAAACTCAGAGAGTGGATGAGGGAGTATTAGCAGTAGGGAAAGAGGATCCTATACCACAAAAGAAAGGAAAGATAATTCCCAAAATGAAAACAAAGCCCAATAATGACAAAGTTGTCTCTCCTACTTTCATTCTGTCCTCAGGGATGCCTCAGCATGGGAGGTTGAGGAAAGGGCAATGGAAATATGATGCATGAGGTCTTTTCTGTAGAGAGGGTCATTGGACTGAATTGGGTGGCTAGGGAAGTACTGTTTTTCCCCTTAGCTGCATTTATTAAGGGTGTCCTATATGCAAGGTATTGTGCTAGCTGCTGGAGATAGAAAGATGAAAAAAAAAAGGCTCTGCTTCCAGAATCCTACATTCTGTTAGAATACTCCCCTCACCCTGCATGATACATAAATACATAATACACACCCATACCCAGACACACACACACACACACACACACACACACACACACGACCCACAAATACACACCAACATGATCTCATCTACCTTGCCACTCTAAGTGTTCAGTGTCCTACCTTACTCAAATGTTATCTGAAGAGATCTTAATTTGGTGATTTGGATTGTGTAAAGTTGGGATAGAATGGGGGACTTCCCCCTGCCACTCCCACTTGGGAACTCAATGAAGTAATGAATCGACTAATTGTCAGCAACAGAAGGACAGAACAAAGCCCTGAGCTTTCTCTTCCAAGCTGCCAGTGATGATGTTCTGCAGTAGAATTATTGGAATTCTGTGTTCCCCTTCAAGCAGAGGGATGAGCATTCTGGACAATGAAGGTGTAAGGGCAGTGTGTTGTGCTGGAGCACTGGACTAGGGGTCAGGGGATCTTATTTCTAACTTAATTGTGTGATCATGACTAAATCTATAGTCAAAAGAGTTAGAGAAATTGAGTTTGAATCCTAGCTCTGCTACTCACTATGTGATCTTGAGTAAGTTACTTCATTGATTCTGTTTCATCATCTGCAAAATGAGAAGGTTGGACTACGTGACATCTAGGGAACACTTTCAGCACTAACTCTGTGAAATTGTTTCACTTTTCTGAGTCCAAATTTCTCTGGGAAATGAGAGGGTATAAAATGTTTTGCAAATTTGAAAGCAATATATATTAGCTATTATTTTTTATTGGATTCAATGATCTAAGGTCCTTTCCAGCTTTCTCTAGCACCTATTTAGGCTGTCTGACAGGGTTGCTGTCTTAGTCCAGACAAGGGAAGTATGGGAAAAAGTCTCTTGTATTTTAAAAGAGGTGTGCAAATGAGGGGCAGAGGATTAATAGGAGATTTCTCCCCACATCCCCTCTTATGTACCTTTAGTGTGTAAATCACTTCTGATTGATTAATATTGCCTTACTTTCCATGACACAGAAGGAAAATCCCCTCAGTGCTCTCACAACTGAGTTTATATCTCAGATCTGGACACGTGTTAGATTTATCCCTGACGGTGGAGGAATGTTTGCTGAAAAGTTTTTACTCTCTTGTCAGTGAGGCCCAAACTGTATTCCATAAACAGCCAAGTCTGGAACAATAGTTCCTAAGTAGATTATAAGAGAAGCCCCCTTAGCTGAGCCATCACTCAAAAAAGGGGTAGCCCAAGAAAATGGCTGCCTTAGACTTTTCCCAGGTCATTTGATAAGGCTGTTTTCCATCCTGGCATGGAATTTGCTTCTTAAAATTGACATTGGATTTGCATTCTACCTTTACAATCAATTTATTGCCTTTACTTCTTGGGATCTAATCTATAAAATGAGATGCCATCCAGTTCTAAACCCATGAATAAGCCTTATGGGAAGGGAAGAGATTTGACACCTCTCCACCCCCAATCAACACTTATGATATGCTTTTAAAATGTGTAAACAAGATGATTGTCTACATGCTCTGATCTCTTTACAAGGTCCTCTTTAATTGGGTCAAGAAGGGAATGCGGTTGGGGCTAACCAAATAAAGGAGCTATTAAATAGGGTAAAAGTTTTAGTAGCAGTTTTCAATTGGCAGCCCCGCTGGGAGGACTCCAGGTTTAGAGAGAATTATTCTTGGGAGTTAGGGGCGTTTCTCTACCTTTCCTTCTTCCTCCCCTCCCACCTCTCCTTTCCACACCCCCCTCCACTTGGAGCCCAGCGGAGAGCTATACCTAAGGGGAACTTTGTAAAGATACTATGAAGAGAAAAAAGGGATTCCAGGAACCAGAAGATGTGCTGTGTTTCTGACCATATGCCCACTGTCTAATGAACTTCATGTTTGAGACTACAGTTATCCCTTTTATATCACGACTTTCTCTATCATGGATCAGCACAAGAAATCAAATGGGAATTTTTTGGGAGTTTTGTGGAAGCCATAGAAGACCACAAGAAGGCCAGCAGGTGATACAGAAAAAATTTAGAAACTCAGAAATGCATAAAATATATGTATAGTATTGTAGAATATCAATATATTTTATCTTTCAATTCCATAAATAATTCAGATATTCTCTGGTATGAAAGGAGGGCCAAAAAATTTTATGCGGATTTTCCAGATTGCAGATGGTGCTACACTCCTAACCCTATGATGTGGAAGGGATAACTGTCGTTTCTTCAGGAACCTTGCATGTGTACAAGGGAAAGTACACGCCTAATTTGGGGGAAAATTTATTTTAATAGTTACAGCTTTTTTTATGCTTTCTCAGTAAAGGGTTTTTTTTTTTTGCTAAAAGCTAATTAAGTCACCGGCAGTTATGAATGGATGGACCTTAGTACTAGAGCCCCAGCTCCTTATAGAGTTATTTCCTGAACTCTGAAAATAGCAAGTAGGAGTTAGGAAGACTCATCTCCTGAGTTCAAATCAGCCTCAGGCTGTGTGACCCTGGGCAAGGCACTTAACTCTGCTTGCCTCAGTTTCCTCATCTATAAAATAAGCTGGAGAAGGAAACGGCAAACCACTCTAGTATCTCTGCTAGGAAAACCCTAAATGGGGTCATGGATAGTCAGACATGACTGAAATGAATGAATAACAAAAAAGCCCCTTTCTGGAGGATCTAACCTGCCAGTCTAAGTTTGGAAGATTGTGTCGGGGGGTGGGGGGGCAGTTTACACTGTTACTCAGGGTTTGGGTAGGGGGTAACTCTCAGTCTACCACTTCATTGAGGGACTGCTAACATTTTACCCCACTATTTAAAGTACCCAGTTGTGGTTCCTTATTCAACAAGTCAATCATGCTCTTCCCTCTGGACTCCATTAAAGAGGAGTTCACATGTGATAAGGGGATCCCAGTATGTTACACATTTAAAAAACCTAATTATGTCTGATGATTCAGGTAGTGGTGTCTTATCCCTTCCCTTAAAATTGCTTAAGGAATTTAGTCAATGTGTTTTCCTGACTTGGGATGTTTTAAGTGACTTGAGAAACTGGATGACCCTGTGCCATCACAACGACACCATGGAGATCATGAAAGAACTGGAAATGTTACTTGGCCACTTTGCCTGGAGAATCACCTCCGTGACAAAACTGGGCTGGCACTGAGTTGTAAGATGCTGATCTCTGGATTACTGTGCATCCCAGGAGTTCTTTTCACTGAGTAAAAAAGTCTTCCTTTAACAGATTGAACTGATGCATGTTGTTTTGCTGCTTTGCTCTCTTCAGCAGTCCAGTGCCCTGGTGCTGAACAGGCCTCTTCTGCACTTGTCCCTTGTGTCCCCTTATGGGGAAAGTCTGTCCCATAGCTGGGAGACTGTGCTGTAGCTGCTTGAGTGGATCCTGAGCAGTGTTCCTGTCCCCTGGGCTCCTGACTGCTCATTGCTCAACTACTCTATAAGCTACAAACAGCATGATTTCAAACCAATATTAATACTTGGTGATGATACTCAGCATGTATGAGCTTATATATATTTCACTATTAGTCAAATTATTCTCATATATAAATGGGGAGAGAGAGGGAAAGAGAGAGCAAGCAAACAGTGGGAGTGAATCACTCTGGCCACTGCTGGTCCAAATCTCTGCCCAGGAGAATAGTTTATATTTCAGCGAATTATTAAATCTCGTTAGGATTTTGGTTTGTGTTTTAGATACTGTAGACCTTGCATAGAAGGGGGTATTCAATTTCTTAAGGCTGTACGACATTATTAGCAATGCATGTCAGTGAAATGCTAAGTGAAATATGAAACAATCAGTGAATTCTTTGCATATTTTATTTTTCTTTTTTGATTTCCAACTCACACACATCTGGCATATTTTACATCTTTGCAATAAAACATGGTTACAATAGCTTAAGGAATTTATATATCCAAAATATTTCACCATGGTCTCAAGATGAAATGGACTTGTCTTCCAGATGTTCAGTATTCTCCCAATTCTAAGCTACAGAACTCAAATATTGCTTACAGACTGGTGATGAATAACTTAATCATTACTTTGATTCCCCATGATTTCAGAATCTCATAAATACAAACAACAGTGAAGAAGGAATTCAGTGCTAAAACTTACTAATACAAGGTGGGGAACAAATAAGTAATCACAGCAATAAATAATGATATGTTTCCGGTGCAAAGTGCCAATACAAAGAATCCATTATCTTGTTTTTATCTTTTAAATAAATGACTGTGAGTGTAAATTCTGAGAAAATTACATTCCTGTTACATGCCTCATAGCCCTACTGACACAATATGTACATCTATGACAATACAGTCACCAAATATACAAAGAAGAAACATGAAGTAAGGTGTATGTACCCCTGGGTGTATAACTTGATCAGTACAATGTATGGAAAAGAATTTGATGATAGCCATTGTTTAATATCATAACAGATGAAATGCCTTAGGTTGAATGTGGATTTAGAAGAAAATTTCTCAATAACTTAAAAAAAAATTCAATCATTACAATGAAGTCCAACTTGTTTTTTTAAAGAAACCAAGCTATTTGAAGAAATAAAGAGAAAAACGTGAATATCTGATCCCCAAACTAAGCCAATGGGTTGACTCCAGAAGTATAGCACTCTTGACACGTTATGAGGGGGAGTCATATAAGTACTAGGGAACTGAACAAGCATGACTCCTGCTTATACAATGAAAACCAGAATCATATCCCTAAGCCCCCGTTTTGCTTGGTCTTCAAATTAAGAAGGAAAGGATTTAATTTTCATTGTATAAAACGGCAAATAATGAATCAATATCCAAATGCTTTATGAGCAAAACTTCACTTAGAAGGGATGAATTTAGATTTAAAAGCGTGAACCATGTTTTTGTGAGAATGTCAAAAATTACTGATTGAGTCCAAATTCAACCCTTTAACACAAGCTGTGCCCTCGACAAATCTCCAGTTTAATTTGTGTGAACGCACCTGTTCCATCAAGACGTTGGGTTTAAAGTACATGCAAGTTGTAACTCCACAATAAAATTAAGAAACGTTTTGTTCTTTATACAAGGTTTTACTTTTACAAAAGTATCCCTTTAAAGTTAAGATGCATCTGATGTACAAAGTATCAAACGTATTTTTTTTTCTCAGCTTGAAAAAAGGCTGGAAATGGGATGTAGATTAGGTTCCTAGCATAAGCATTGTAACAACTGGACACAAGGTTCCTCAGAATTTTCAAAAGTCTCTTGTGACGGTCCTACAACCTTTTCTCAATAAACAACAATATATGAAATAATTACCAAAACATCTCCTAATTCATATAATTTACATGATACAAGCTTGCTTGGTAGCAGCTGGTGTTCGGTTGTGAAAAAACACACAAAGTAAAATGGTTGCTTACTACAATGTACAGCTATTGCTGGGTGTAATGGAATGCACAACGGAGGCCAATGGAGACGTGTTTTTCCACCAGAGATAACGTCCTTCATTGTAGCACTTGTGCTCTCGGCTTTCACTTAGATTTCAGTTCTCCAGCCATCTTCAGTATCTGTTTTGATGCTCATAATGCCATCGATTAAAATCTATATTAAAAGCTACAATGCTACCAGAAGCCATGCCAGTTATCAGTGTCCTGGAAAAGCAGAGATATTTTGTTAAGTGTTTGTTTGTACCAATATTCAGACACAGTAGGGATCTGCCACCTTATACAGCAAAACCTATTCATTCAGGATGCCATTAACTTGAAATATGCAACAATTTAGATGAGGTTAAAAATATATACTATGATGAAGAAAAGGAATAGCCATGATAAGTCCAATTTAAAGAAAAAAATCCAATGAGGTATTTAAGTTGAAGAAATCAGGGAATACTAGAACACAAGAGTTAGAAGAATCATTGTGCTACAGCTGGAATTGACATAAGAGTTCATTCTAGTCTAGCTGCCTTAAAGCCCACCCAGAGAGGTCAGATGACCCGTCCAAAGTCATACAACTAGCTTGGAACTTTGTTGTCTCTCCCATTAGACAGTGATGTCCTTGAGAACATGGACTTTTTGTTAAGTGCTTAGTACATAACAGGCACTTAATAAATGCTTACTGACTGACTAAAGAAGATCATTAACCTCTCTAATTAGGCATAGCCCTTCTCTGTCCTCAGGGACAGGAAACTGTCTTCAGGAGGAGGGGCTGAAATCAGACCAAAATGCAAGAGAATGAAGGAATGGAGAAATCCCTCTCCCCTCAATCCTGGGCTGTAACCACAAACACCGTAATACTTAATTCCATGGAAACCTCCCCTCTCCCCCATACATAGGACACATACATGCCCTCACACTGTGACCTCTTGACCTAGGGGATGCTCATCATTCTTCCTCTCCCTCACTTAATCATTTTATTTCAGCAACTGAAATATTATATAAATATAATTTTGTCTAGAAGCACAATAATTAGTGTGGAATTACATGCCACATTAAGCCTGTTAGAGTTTGTTTTATTTCTTAGAAAAAAACACTGAATTTGGAGTCAGGACTCAGCTGTGAATCCTTTACTCAGCTCTTGTGTTCTCTGAGGGCCTCCATTTCCTCATGTTTAAAATGAGGTGGCTGCACTGGATGATCTCTAGGGTTCTTTCTTAATCTCAAACTATGACCCAATCAACCTCCAAGCCACGAAATCTAGCTGCATATTTTGGATCTCTAATATTCTATACATTTTGTGATGAATACAAGGCACTAGATTTTTGCAAGCAGAATAATCTAACTGCTGATTGAGCAGTAATCATATATAACTTGAAGAAAAGATTATTATCAAATAACAAATGAAATCCAAGTATCCAGTAAGTCTCTGATGGTAATTTGATTGCAGAACCTAGTCATTTTATTCATACATTTTCCTGGGCACACTATTTGGCTGGGTACCACGCCAGAGGCTAAAACTAATGTCTATTTCACTGTAAATTCATCTTTTGCTTAACATAAAATACTGTGTAATGCTGTTTGGAATCACTGAATTTAAATTCTAAGGAGTAGTTACAGAAAAAAAATTATTATGAACTTAATAAACTTTGTGCAACCAAACTTATTAAACATTACATTAAAAACAATTTACAATAAAATCAACAACAACTTATCTATTGTACTTCAAATGTGAATAGAGTGTTAACAAGTGTTAAGAGTGACTCTGTTAGTTCTGGGGTTCAGCCCTCCATACTGTCCAGAGTCCACATGTTTCTTCTTCATCCCACTGCTTTCACTTCTCTTGCTTTTTTTGCCCCTCAGTACGATTCCTATGGTCATTTTCTCACCACTTAATTTCTCTTATTAAGGTACATCTATATTCTCTTTGGATCCGGGTTCTTCCTCAGGGAATAAATTGCAGGAAAGCATACTAACAGTAGCATTATGGAACTTACATTTGACTGGTTCATATGGGAAGGATCCCTTGCTACAATTCTTAAAAAATAGGTTTCTTCTTTGCTGCAACTCACCTTTGATCATGGGACAAATCCATTGCCCTAATGCCAGCATCACATCCAGGATAAATATAAAGCTGTTTGAAGTCACAAGCCTGCCATACTTCCACAACTCCATTGTCTCCTCCAGTGACCAGGTTCTGTCCATCACTGCTCAGAAGGATGGCCTTCAGAAAGCACAGAAAATCAAACAATGTTTTCTTCGATAAACAACAATATATCAAATTACTGATGATCCTACAAATGGGCAAAACTTATTGCTATGAAATTTTACTTTTTTTTCCTTATATGCAATAATATCTTATATGTATGAAGCACTCTTACATTTTCCAAAGTGCTTTCATAAGCATTTATCTTGTGTGGACAATATTATTTCCATTTTAGATGAAATTAATATTAAGTGACTTTCCCAAGTCTAGTAAAATCTGACTCTAAGGATTTTTACATGATGTTCATTAAAGTTCCTTTTAATTTACAGAGAGTTTATTAAAAAACAATTGTTTTATTGTAATTTAATTGTAATTTAGTTCCTAATGAATATCTTTTCTTCTGAAGTTCTAGTGTAAAATTTTGAGTTTTACCCTGGTAGAATCATTGATCTCCATTTGAGCTAAAAGTTTCCCGTTAATGCTGAAATTACTGAACCGTCCTCGTTCATAGTATATGATACAGTGGCCTTCACTGGACACAGAAATCAATCTAGGAAATAAGCAGTTTTCTGGTCCCTCTAGGGCTCTCAGCAAATCTCCCGTGATTGTATGTACAAGGCAAGGGCCTTCTGAAAGGGAAAAAAATAGCAACATTCAGATAATCAATGGTGATAACAAGCTCTGTACACAATCTACATACTATGCCTGTGCTCTGATGTATTATTATGAAAGCATAGAAGAGAAGAGTGATATATTAACTAAAACTAAGTACTAAAGTTATAAAAGTATTTCACAATAGTTTGAAATGTTTTTGTATTTCAAAACTTTTTTGGAATCTGAGTTCCTAGAAAGAGATCACATTTTACCTTTCTTTATATCCCCAACACTCGGCACAGGGCTGGGGTACATAGTAAGTGCTTAATAAATGTTTGTTGATGATGATGCAAAATGGAGAAGGGAGAACCAAGAAATCACACATACCTCTGAACATTCAAACATAATGCAAGCCCGATTGCAGCCACTCAACACTAAGGATTGATACAGTGGGGTGAAATTATGGTTCTAGGTTTGTTTTTTTTTTGGTGAGGCAATCAAAGTTAAATGACTTGCCCAGGGTCACACAGCTGATAAGTGTCAAGTGTCTGAGGCTGGATTTGAACTTGGGTCCTCCTGACTCCAAGGCCAGAGCTCTGGCCACCTAGCTGCTCCTAAAATATGTTTTGATAATCAAAAAATACCACACAGAACTTACTAATATACTTTTTATACTGGCTACTAGTCTAAATGTTGGAACTAAGCAGCTACAGAATTGATAGTAATTATAATTGTTTATTGGGAGTATACAATTGAATGGAAAAATACCAAAAGAAAATTCTACATTTTAAAAAATTTAAAATAACTTCTAACCTTTAGCACCACTGATAACAAGTCCCAGTTCTGCACAGACTGACACACAGACAACTTCATGGTCATGACCTGTAAGGACAGCTCGTGGAGCAGGATAATCACCTGTAAAAACCAGAAACCATTTGTCAATATCAACCAATGCTCAGAAATAAACCTGTGACATTTGGAAAAGTACAAAATTTAAGTCTCCAACACTAAGGTGAAATGTAGAATTCAGATAATTAACCAGATTATTCATGTGAGATATGATGTTGCTTTAAACTGACAATGGATAACAATTTTTTTCTTTATTATTGTAACTCTCCATAGAACTCTAACTCGATTTATCATTATATTAACATGGGGAAATAATGAAGCATCATCACTGACAAACATGACCAAGCACTTTAGTGAATGACTGTTACTATGCTAAGTGTCAGGGTACAAAGAAGCAATTAAAAACCAAAGAGAATGAGACATTTGGAATGTGTCCTGCAGAGGTTTATACTCAAAGACAACAATGAACTGAACAAATCTGGAAAAAAACCCTACACAATGTGCAACAGTGATCAACTGATTGTTTAACAGTATACTATATGATTTTCTATTTTATATTATACTTATTTGTAAACTATACGAATGGGAAAATAAATGTGAGCTCGACAAGGTGTTGAATGGAATCCAAGCGTAAGTGTCAGAGGGACACTGAGGAGATGTGGGGAGCGCAGGGAGAATTACTGAACTTGTGATCTGGTCTGAGGTGGCTGAGTGAGAAAAACAGCATCAGCCAATGAAGGGCTTTGGTGAAAAAGATTGACTTCTGGAAGCAGGGCTGAAAAAAGAGAGATCAGAAAGAAGTTTTGAAAAGTCCAGGAATGTAATTTGAACCTAGACCTAGGATGAACCTAGCTGTGTGGGCAAGAAGGTAGATACAAACATTAATGTGTAACCTCAAATTCTTTATGAAAGCAGGCAAGATCGCCACATAGATAGACTGGTGCACAACCATTAAGCATCATCATCAGGTTTGGATGAATGATCAGATGTAGGGATAAGGAAAATTAGAGGTGGTTTTAAAGTCCTAAATGATAAACTAGATGGTATATTGTTAATGGTAATTAAGAATCTGTACATATGTAAGAATGTTGGAAGAGAAAATAATGGGTGTCCACACTCAGTGTGGCACCAACATGGCAAAGCCCCTGGGAGGCCAGTAGGTTTTCTAAGATGGGTGGGGGGCGGGACAGCTCAGGTCAGAAATGGAGCAATATGTTCATCAGTATTAGGATCCGGCACACGAGTTGCCATTTTGTACTTTGGAGACCTAGTCTCAGAAAGAGGAGAGGAGAGGGAAAGGGAAGCTGGGTGGGGAGGGGGGGAGGGGAAGGTGGGAGGGGGGAGTGAGGGAGAGTGAGATAGAGTGAAATTTTACAATTCTAATATTTGCTCAGATATAGCCCAAAATCTGTATGATGTGCTCTAACTTGCTCTAAACACCCATCTTTTCCTAAAATGAAAAGGCATGTCTGGATTTTCCCATATTTTTAGATTTTCCTAAAGCACATACATATATTTAAAATCACACATAGTTCAGAAAAACTTTGAATGCCTCAGTAAAGTGGTATAATTTAAATACAATTGTACAAAGTTTATATTTATGACCAACTGTTAATTAAAGTGACATTTTAGAGGAAAAATCTTTTAATTACAGTTAATTGTCTCAGAATAAGCTTATATAAAATCAAGGTATAGAGCATTAGAAAAATTTTCATCAAGATATTCCCTCTCACATGTTATAAAAAATAACACCAAATAATTCTACTGCTTGTTACTCTGGAAGAAAAAGCAAACCTAAAAACAAAGCTCTCTGTTAAAATGCTCAAAATTATCTCATATGGAAAAAGTAAATAAGACTATTACCCATGTTATAAAACTAATATTAATCCCCCCTGTTTATTTTATTTGTATGGAAAGTAAAAATTTCCTGATGATGTCTGCTTGATTTAGGAAATTTGAAATGCTTTTTTTTCATTATAATCTCCATCTTTTGGATAAATTGTGGAAGCTGATGATTTGAATAGTTGTTTCATGGCTTCTGTGAAAACACTGTTTCCTTCAGGCTCAATATAAGAAGAAATATACATACATACACATGTGTATATATATGTATATATACATATACATATATGCATGTATATATGTATGTAATGTTATTCAGGGTTATTAGAGTTAGTAAACCAGCAGCACTGGGAAGAAACCCTGACAGAGACAGATGTCACACACCCCAGCAATCACTTCAAATCTTAAAAAGTATGCCGTTATTGTCCAATCACAACTGATAGAGGTAGATGGAGGTAAAAGGTTACACACAGAGGCAGCTGCAGGTGAGGGTCACCCTATGAAGAACAGAAACACCATCACTTTCACTCCAGAATCACTTTCCTCTGGCGAGGATCTTCATCTGTGATGGAATTATGAGGGAACGGCTAACATGTCCAAATCTGACATCCCTTGTATTTTAGCAGTTGGGGTAGGAAGTTATGTTCACATTGCATATATACTATCTTATTATCATTATCCAAAATGATAACAACATTTAATTTTTTAAGAGTGCTTAGAAAAATTTGAAAGAATTAAATACTGTTACATAAAAAACAAGGCTTTTTGGTAAAAACTGATATTGAAATTTCTAAAGAGTTGTTCATAGTTACTAATATAATAATCTTGGCTAGTGGGACTAGAAATTATACCTAAAGAAATTTTTAGTCCTTTCATATTGAAAGAGAACAATGGAAAGTGCTATGCCAAACCCTGTTTGGTTGCTGGCACTGTTGTTCTGTAACAAGGAGACTGCTCCCCCCTGCCCTGATGATCCTCAGTGTTATGGCTGCACTCATGACCTCTGTGTACAGTGAAGAAAAATAATATACCCCATCTCAAATAATCACATTTCTGTTCGCTCTTATGTTTACATAAAATGGGCCTAAAGTTTGCTGCGAGCTGTTAGATAACAGTCTGAGAGACTCAAAGTACTCTATTTCTTCTTTTTTACCAGGGTTCCACTTAAAAACACCATAATGGAAGGTTCCTACCACATTCTGAGGATACAACTTGGGATTATTAGGCACGAATCGACATGTTAGTAAGCCACATCAATATAAGTGTAATCATGACTTGATAAAGGCCAGCTACTATCACAGACAGTAATGATGAATGGGCCCAGAATTATTCATGTAGCACAACTTCAAGCAAAAATTTGCTCAGGTGGGAAAAAAATAAAAATATGTATTTGTTGCCATTTCATATTTATTGCACAACTATAAACTGAACTCTCTAAATCTCTAATGCTTTTCTGTTGACTTCCCCTATTCATTTGGTAAGTTCACTGACTGTAGGTTAAGCACCTAATAGGAAGCTTTGTACTGTAAGCATCTAAAACATATTATTTGAAATAAATTGAATAGATGACATAAGGCAGATGGAAACAAATCTATAGTGTCAAACAAGTTAAAAAATAAGAAAAACTTGTTTCCTTTCTTAAGGTGCATTTATAAGTACCACCTTCTCCTCTGAGTTTCTCTTTTGCCAACACAGTCCCATATATTTAAAGAATTAACCATGGGTCTGAAGTCACAGCATTCTCCTGGGCCCATCCCATTTGTAACATTATCAAATTAAGTCATACGTGGAAGGAGATGCCATAAAGCACAACAGTGTCCTTCACCTTGACATCTATATTGTCTCATATGCTTCAGGGTCCCTGGAGAGTTGATTTCTAAGTGGCACCAACTTTTGTATTATATCTTGCCCCTCTCTTTGCCCCTTTACTGGAACCTCAACCCCATTCCCAGGCTTAGCTATATGGGAGGAGAGAAAGAGCAGAGCCAAATGGTGAGAAGCTGTACTTTAATCACTATTGTCTGATGGGTATGTAGTGAGGCAAGATATTTCCCCCAAACCAGAATCTGGGTGTAGAAAGAACCCAGAGAACATTAAGATATAACCTTTCTCTCTAAAGGAAAAGAAACATATATCTTTATGCTGAGAAGATACAGGAGAATCCTATTCCCAGAAGTAGAAGGAAAGAACATCAGTCAATAATAAATGTTTATTCAGTGCTTCCTTTGTGCCAGGTACAGTGCTAAGTGTTGGGGATACAAAGAAAGGAAAAGTTCTAGTAGGATCTGTGTTCTTTGGATATCAGTGACTTTGGGACTCATGGGACTCACTGGCATCAAAATTATGACTACAATATAAACAAAAATACTTTTTGTGTGAAACTATCATTTGACATGATTAAGCCCCTACAAAGCCAACAGAAGTTAGAATGTGTATGGTATTGTAAATGACCCTTCTCTGAGAAGCTTAAGTACTCTAGGGAAAACCAGATTTATACACCACTTTTTGTGCATTTTAAAAGTATTCCTCGGTCAGCTGAGAAAGTGGGCTTGGGCATTAATTAGGAGAAGCTTCATTGGAGAAGGTAAGATGGAAAGAAAAGGAGAAACAAGGCTTTGTAAATGTTTAGTAGTGGCTAATAGGTGTGAGGGGCAGTGGTTAGTATTGAGAAGGGCACAATGGGAGTTAAGAGAAAGTATGGAATAAAGTTTTCTGATTTTCATGTAGGTTTCTTATTTTATGGTTTGAAAAGCACAGGAATGAAAGTACTTCCTTGAATAAGAATATGAAGAGGAAAATACCCAGTAGATTATAGATACTCAAATGTTCATTCTTCTCCATTCGACAAGGACAATAAATTTTCTTCCCTCAAAATCTGTTGCTATGATTTAAAAATCATTTACATTATGAATATCTTCTTCAGTTTATTTTAAGTAAATAAAACTCTTCCTACTTTAAAAGTTTATTATACTTCAGGATGTTAATGCAGATTGAGCTTTGATTTTCAATTCTAGTGTTTTTTTAAGTGTCCAAACAAGAAGAAGCAATGTTAACCTGCATCTTTTGTGACTATCCTCTTGGAAGCTACAGTATATAATGAGAAATGTCAAGTCCCAAGATCAATAAGATTTCAGACTCTAGGGATACAACAGAAATAGCATTGATCCTTTTTAAAAAACCCCAGTCAGAGGTAGAATGTAATATATTGCAAAGAGAGGCTCAAG